TTCTTAGAAGGACCTATGAAGTTGGAATTTCACCGTTGTTCTGATTCCAACATTGCTTTTCCATGGATTTTCAGAATTTTCAGGATCCCTCAGCTGTTATGATCGAATCCTGTTCGGATTGTGAAAGAAATCCTGAGTTGGAGATTCCAGTCAGTTGAATGAGATGATCGTGGCGTTCTCCCCAATCGGGCGAGATTTGGAGAAGATGATTGCTCAATCATCCTCCTGCCCGACTTGGAATCCTGACCAGATTCTTTCGTTCATTTTCCAAATTTTGGGCTACTGATGCGAAAATCTGCTAGAAAGCTTCGATTTTCGCCCAATTTTTCTCAAATTTTTGGTTAATTCCTGCTAGAGTGATGTGAGAGTGAATAGAGACTCTCAACGATAGCACCAATGTTGGTCCAAAATAGGATGCTCGTAGGCTTTTAGGAAAGCTACGTAAAAAAACTCAAGTAAGAATCAAGAAAATATGAACGAATATGGAAATTGCTCAGGAGATTTAGTTGTCAGAAAGTAGTGTCTAGAAATTCGCTTCCTTAGTTTGAATTACAACATGCCTTTTATAGGCGTATACAATTCGTAACCACTACCGATAATAATGACTAATTAATTACAACATTAATACGGAATTAAATACATAATTAAATAGCGCATTAATTGCTTGACCGTTACTTTTCTTGGCCGGCAGGTCGGCCGGACTGGCAGGCTCCCCGTTAGGGTGGTAGGCAGGCTCCAGGTTGTGGATCTGGATCCACGGGTCCAAGTTCGGGGCTTGGGCCGATTAGGCTCTGGGCCTAGTCCCATAACTCCAGTAACCATCAACTCTAACATTAGCTTGAAAATACAATTGAAAAATATCAAGTAACCGTCAGTTCTAACTTCTAACTAAAGTTTTTTTTATTTGGCTTATTACACAAAACAAATCCAACGTTTGGAGGTATTGACCAAACAAGTCTATCGCATACATCTTTATCTAATGTGTTGCAACACCTACAATTTGATTCATTCAGACAACACTTGCAACTATTAATAGCATAATGTATTTTATAGTAAATACTAAGTATCGTATATACCATTAAAAACATGAAATTATGGGAATTTAATAATAAATTAAAAGGCATGAGAGTATTTTGTCAATTTGAGTGAAAACACCTTCATCACTAACACTTTAGCTTTAATTCTCCCAAACAAGGTAAGAGTATATTTAACACTTACACTTGCCCTACCTTCCAGACCCCTGACAACACTTACTAACACCTCCAATACTAACACTTCCAAGCACTCCATTCCAAAAAACCCTTAGAGAAATTCCCATTTTTCCCAGGTTTGGGCCATTGCTGGAGAGTTCTATAGAGAAGAAGGAAATGTCTAATAAATGCCGTGATGACAAGTTCTTTGTCGAGAAGGAAAACAATGAGACTAGAGCTGTCAAACAGGCCAACCCGACACAACCCGACCCAACACGTAACGGGTTATGCTTTATGTGGGTTGGGTCGGGCCAACTCATTTAATGACGGGCCAGGATTTCTACAACCCTAACCCAACCCACCTAACCCGTGGGTTAAACAGGTTGGCCCGCGGGCCAATGTAAAAAATATATAAAACGATTTTTTTTAAAAAAAAAATTAATTACGCGGAAGTATATATTTATATTAGCAAGTAGTAACAAAGGAAATATAAGAAATCAAAATAATTAAAATTCAATACTTGTTAAGTTTAATTAAAAATATTAAATACTAATTATACGATAATTTGAAAACTATAGGAAAAATTGAAAATAATAATCCCAACTATTACCGGTCAGCTGAAAATAATCCCAACTATTGATTATTTTTGTATAATCCCAACTATATAGACTATCCGCCAATAATGGTCCATGACCATATATTACCTCTATAAAAAGTGGATTTTAAATAGAAATTAAAAGTAAAATTTAAAAGTTGAGATTATTTATAGGGATTACTTGTTATATCTCATCTCATCCACTTTAGAAACTACAAGAATTTATTCAAAGGGACCATTATTGGCGGAAGGTCCCTAAAGTTGGGATTATTCTGTAATAATCAATAGTTGGGATTATTTATAAAAATACTCATTGTATAAAAATAAAGATTTACATAAAACTTTTGATTAATCATTTGCACCAATAATGACTACTAATTGTTAAATATTGTATCGAACTTCACAAAAAAATATGTGTTTCAACATTTTATTTGAATATTTATTATAGAAATAAAAGAAAAATACTTTTTTAATTGTAATTATAATAATATTTGATGAATGTCCTTGATACCAATTGTGAGTTCCAAGTGAGGTAAAAGTCTAGAAGGGAGTGAATAGACTTTTAAATCTTTTCTTTTTCCTTCCTTATTCTGTAACTGGATATGTTCCAACATCTTTTGAGAGATATTGAAACATGCAACAGAAGTCTTGACCTCAAGAGGATGACACTATATAGAGACAAAGGTTATGACCCTTTTAGTTGTGAGAGATATGGGTTAAACATTGTACAAATGTGTTTGCTAGAAACAGAACACTTTTAGAAGCAGGCTGCCGAAACCTGAAGGAGATGACTGCCAGAAATCTTTGGGAGCTGACTGCTAAACCTTAGGAGCAGGCTGCCGAAATGTGATTCTGTTTGTTTAGTTAAAGTATAGCACATAACTTTACTTTAACAACTTGACTGACTTTAGAACTAGTCTAACACAAGTGTGTGAAGGATTTAGACCAATGGAGATAGGTCACTTTGAAGAGCAGATAACAAGGAGATGACTCACAGTGAGCTGGGAAAGTTCACTGGACACTTTAAATGAGCAAGTTATTTTTCTTGTGCAGTTGTGAAGGTGAGTGAGAACTGAAATAAGTGTTAGGTGCAGAATGTAAATGTGACACACGATGTATCCTGGTTCAGGGGTGGTGTAATCCCCCTACATCCAGTCCCAACCTATTTCAGATGGATTTTGACTAAATGCATATTCCATTACATCTAGTACCCAATCTACCCTTGGCCCAGGCGTAGATTGTGAGGTTTTTCACAAGGAACTTGAACACCGTTCCAAACTACTCATATCCTCCCAAGGTTTTTCACTAATGGCATTGACTCGCCAAGAGTTACTCATGTTCTTTCCCTTTCTCACCTTTTGGATTTGATCACTAAGCCCTCCAGAATGTCTAACATTAGTCTAGAATACATGGGTGTATTTTCTAAACTACCAACTAGTCTAAGCTCTATTGATTTGTATGAATCATAACTATTCTAAAAGCATTAGACGAGTGGGGTGGCGGCCTAAGTGTAGAAGGGAAATCAGCTTGCTGGATTTGAGCGTGAAGAGTGTGATTTCCTTCTATCCACTTGGCTCCTTTGTTTTTCCACTAAATTACCACATTTTTCCACACTGGTAATCCCACACTCCTTCTGTATTTATAGACTTGATCATTTCATCTTCACCGTTGGCTGAGAAAATGAATCTTGACCGTTGATTGATCTACTTGCTTTGTTCCACTTGACTGAGGCAGCATGATTTCTTCTTGTCACGTAGTGACACAGATCAACTATCTTCAGCTCAACTTGTTTACACATTTCAATTCAAGATAAACGATATTTCATCTTTTATTTTCCTACGTAGAAACTAGTATAAAGTTGACTGCTGATTTCTGGAGTTTTCCAGTTAGCTTAATCCTAACTATGAATACCTGTTAACTCTTTTCGTATCTTTTCTCTTTTTGATCATTTTCTTTTCTTTTGTTTATGGTACATTTAACTTCTCTTTTTAGTACTCTTTGATTTTTATGAGTACTTTATCCACTAAATATGGAGCACATTACAATTACACAAAGTAGAACAAGGTAGTAGACTAGTCTAATACAGGAATAATAAAATGGGTGATATCATCAAAACTATTACATTATACATCAAAATCTAAGAGACCTAACAATATTGATAGTAAAAGAATAATATTTTAGATAATAAAATTCAAAACTATATTTTTGTATTTTAGCCCGCGGGCCAACCCGTAAACCGGTAGGTCAACCCACTTAAACCCGCAACCCGCGTGGGTTGACCCGCGAAACCCGCGAACTAAATGGGTCAGGAATTATCAACTTTAACCCACCAATAAATGAGTTTAAACGGGTCCGCACACAAGTTTCGACCCATTTTGACGGCTCTAAGCCTCTAAGACCATTTGGAGTGATGAGGTATTAGGAGTCCAAAATGTTAAATATGGAACTTTTGGACTCCTAACTGTGTGTAGTGGTGGTTTAAAAGGGGTATTAAATATGGAGAAGGGGATGGATGAGGTTAAATATAGAGGGTGAGTTTAGAAGAGTGGAAAAAAGAAAAAAGAAAAAAGAAAGAAAAAAGAAAAAGAATGGCACCGCTGCATGTTTTCTTTTGGTGAGGATGATGTCATGCTGGTGTCACCCTTGCATCATTATATCCCAATTTTTTTTAAACTTATATAACTTTTTTATTTGTCATCTAAATTTTTCAAAAAATATATCAAAATTCTTAAATTTTATGATCTTTCATATGACATCCATATGTGATATATAAAATGATTTTTTCTTGAAATTTTAACTGTTGCGGTTTCTTGAGCTAAAAAAACAAAAACACAAATTTTTAATTCATGAAATCTTCACAAATAACTGAATATTCTAATCGAACTTCACTTAAACAAATTCATTTTTTTTAAACAAAAAATGCTAAAAAAAGTTGTGAAAATTATTTATTTTTACATCGAGATGTGTATTTTTTATTTCATAATTATTCAGGGGAAAAATTAAAAGTGAAACATTACGTATAATAATTTAATTAGTGTTTTACTAAATTCATATGTAAAACATATGCAGAGTGTATTTTATTGATGGTGCACGGGTGCAAAAAAAAATAGTATTGACGGTATCTAAACATTGTTTTCATATGAACGGAGTCCAAATTTAACAATTTGGACTTTTGACCACTACAAATGGTCTAAGTGAGAAGCGGAGTAATAGTTGATCAAATGTAGAAAAGCTATGCTGATGCCATTTTTTTCAATTTTCATGCCCCATTCCATGTTCAGAAATCAGAAGTTCAGAACGTTCTAGTTCCCGCCTAGCAAAAGTTCCACGTAGATAGGGATTAGGAATCGTTCTTACTTGCTATTCAGCTAACAATTTGATTTTTGAAGAAATTGCCGGTTAGAAAATGGCCCTTTCTGTGATATACTGTGTTCTGCCCAGGAGGGTTCTCTTCAGCATTTACACCGGTCAAGTTAAGGTTCACTCCTTCAGAAAACTCCTTTCACCTCCGGTTCCACACCTTCCGCGCCGCCGCTATCGGTGCTATTGCCAGTTGGTCTCCACGGTTGCGTCGTCAGCGGATATTTCATCTTCTGTGAGCGACAGAGAAAGGCAAATCAGAAGCCCTAAGCTAGTGGCATTGGAATACGCTGATCTCAACCTCACCGATAAGTTCTGCGAGGTAAAAACGGTAACTAAATAGAATCAAATCTATATATACACACGTTGAATTTTGTAACAGTTTCAAACCTTTACCCTATTTACATACTACTACTACTTTACTTTGACTGGGTTTATTTACGCAGTATAAAATATTTTATGAAAATATTACGGAGTACAATTTATAATTTTATAATATAATTTTTTAATAATTTTTACTATTAAGTAATTAAAGACAGTGTCCATCAAAATGGTGCGTGGGAGAATATGAATTAAAAGTGTTAGCAACTAAATATTAAAAGAGGTATAAAAAAATTGTATGCTTTGGATGAGCTATTAGAGTCCACTTGAAATTAGCATGAATATGCTTAATTTGTGTTTGAACATGAGTGGAAGCTCTTTGCAGCAGAGAAGAGTTTGCTCATTATCTCCAGGCTTTTTAGTAAATTAAATACATTTCTCTTTTTTCCATGTAGTATGTATCTTGTAAGGAATATTTTCATAAATTTGTTGATCGCCCGGATGATTTGTTGCTAATATAAGGTTTTGCAGGAGGTGGGTCATGTCCGGATAAGGCAGCATGTTAACCCTTTGCGCTCTTCCCTCTTGGTATTCTACACTTCATCCATTGGTTTGTTCATCTGATTAAATTTTCTTTTTAGAAAATAGCACATTCAAGTTTGTTTTAGAGTTTTATGTGATTTATTCTGAAATGCATATTGTTCTGAGAAGGCTCCTACCGAAGTGCCAAACTGGAGTGAAGTATACAGGGACTCATCGTTGCCGCTTATGGTGGATATAGGCTGTGGTAAGGGGTATAATTTACATGCCACAATGCTTGTTCTTTGTGGATTATGTCCAATGGCCCTCTTGCATGTTACTGTATTTTTCTAAGTTACAGGTATTTATTGTCATGGTCATCATTGCATAACAGTAGTAGTTCCCATTTATTCCTTTTTCAAAATTGACAAATGTTTATTTTTTATGATAGCAATCATATTCCTATTTATCTTCTATCATACTTTTGGTGGGTAATTAGAGTCTAACAACAATTCTGTGCAGGCGGTGGCAGATTTCTGTTGTATCTTGCTAAGCAATGTCCTGATTCCAAGAATTATCTGGGATTTGAAATTCGTCCAAAAGTAAAGCAAATTTAGCCTTTTCTTCTAAACTTGTTCGTTTATTTGTGGTCTAGTAAAATCGCATTTTTATAGGCTCATTTACATGAGTAATTTTTGGGGGGCGCTTTTGTCTGGCAGTTGGTTAAACGTGCTGTGTACTGGGCAAATGAGCTAGGTCTCAAAAATATGTAAGGATTTTCAAAAGTTTGTTACTTTCCTCTTGAAAAGAAGCTATTATGCTCTAGTTGATTACATTTGATATGCAGACATTTCATGTTTGCAAATGCCACAGTTTCTTTTGAGAGAATTGTGTCTACATACCCTGGACCGTTGCTGTTGGTTTCTATATTGGTGAGTCCACCCGGCCACACCTTTTGTGTTGTTAAAGATTACAGGCTTTAAATTAATTGGAGGACTATAGTTTAAAACTTTAAAAAGCTATCGACTCCGATCTACAGTGCCCTGATCCTTATTTCAAGAAAAAGCATCATAAGAGAAGAGTTGTGAAGAGGCCTTTGGTTCAATCCATAGCTGATCGTTTAGCACAAGGTGGACAGGTACACACTAATTTGTCTTCATAGTTGTGTATATTGAGACTTATTTGACACTATGATTTCATGCCACTAACCACTACATAGTTAGAATCATGGTTGCTAACATCACTTGGTGTCCTGCCCTTAGAATACCCATACCGTAAAATGGAGTGTTAGCCAATACAGTTATTGGTGGGGGCTCCTAGGAGCGAGCGTCTAACTCTACCCCGATGCACTTAGTAGGTTTGTAGTCATCTCAACCCCTGGAAAGGGCCAAATTTGAAGTTTTTACTTTCCCGTAGGGTGCCTACTGCCTATGGGAAAAAATTCAGCATGGGTTGGAGAGTGTATGATGGTAGTGATGTATTCACTATGGGGCTATGCTCAATGTAGCACCCATTTGGTAGGCTTCAATATTAACTTATTTCACTTCTTTCGACGGATTGTTTGAAAATGTGGAAAAGAACTAGTGCAGGAGTTATTATTCTTTTGGTTGAGAAATTGATACCTTTACCTATCTTTAGAAATTATTCTTCTATTGAAGTATAAATTTTAAAGTGTATTTTTTAGGCAATCCAGCCATTTTGAGCCACAACTCAAGCAATTTTAGCAGAATGAGTCACTACCGTCATTTTAAGGCCCTGTTTGGTGGGCGTAATCACCACATTCTACTTATAAATAAGCAACTTAACGGAATTAGTAGCTTTTGATATACTTATTCGGCTGAATAGATGTTACCAAACGCTTTACATTTCTGAAAAAATTGAGCAGATTGAGCTTTTTCAGCCAAATAATATTCACCAAAAGAGCCAACGGGCTCAGGACAGTCTTTTTAGACCTTGTTATTTTTAATGCAAGCCCAAGGCGGCAACTTGTCCTATCGTTTAGCATGTCACTTTATCTAATGAAGCATAAATGAAATATAATTTCAATTTTCACATTGTTAATTTTTATGTGCAGGTGTTTATACAATCTGATGTGCATGAAGTGGCTATTGACATGAAAGATTGTTTTGATGGGATGTCCAAGCTCCTTCACATAGACAGTGTTGATTCTAATGTACTATGTGACAGTAATGGATGGGTATTGAATAATCCCATGGGGATAAGGACGGAAAGGGAGATCCATGCTGAATTTGAAGGCTCCAAAGTTTACAGAAGGTTATATGTAAAAAAAGTTGAGCACTGATATTTTTCTTTCACCTAACATAGGTATGCTACATTATAGTATTTGCTCTTCAAACTGGTGTCGTCAGCTCTGTTCCTTATCGCGATATTTGGATTAGAACTTAGAAAATCTTGTCCGGCCTAACACTCCTGTTTTGTGATCTTCTTCCTTATTTTTTGAGGTGTTTGAGCCAATTTTAAGTGTGGATACTATACTACTCCGTAGCTTCGAATTTCTTGTACTACTAATTATTGAAGCCAATACTGTAAAGATGATACAATAATTCTAAAAAGACGTTCTTTTTGGATATTCTTTATCCCGAGTACAATAATTCTAAAACATATTCTTTTTAGATGTTCTTGAGTGAAATTTATTTTATGGATTTATTACTTGAGAGTATGCATGGGCCGGGCCGGGCCTGACCGGGCTTTTTTGGGGATAGTTGAGGCCCGGAACGGGCCCGGTTATCCACCGGCTCAAGGCCTCGGACTGGTTCCTATTTTTTTTTTTTTTTTTTTTGCTTTTCTAATTAAACTCCAAACCCCCCTCACCCCCAAACCCCCCCAAAACACTCAGCCCAACTCGGGAAAAACAGAAAAAAAAATGAAAAGAAAAAATGGCCCGAACCAGGCCCAGCTTGGCCGGTTCCTATTTTGCATGACCTGGGCCTGCCCTATGTAACGCCGGGGCCGGGCCGACCCGGACCGGTCTCTGACCGGGCTACCGGGCCGGGCCGGTTCATGGGCCGGGCGGCCCAGTTTCGGTCCATGACTACTTGAGAGTTGAGAATAGCTCAAGTGGTTGATTGTGTAGGTCGGCTTCTTGTGTGTTATTCTGTTAGGGGCCCGGCCCAAATAGAGTATAATAAAAATAAAGTCTAGTATAAATAGAATGGGCTGGGGGGAAAGGGAGGGAGGCTGTTTTGTAGACTTTGACTTTGGGACTTTGGGAGATCGAGAACTATTCTCTTTCTTTGGGGGGCTTCGGCTCATTGGGGGCTTCGGCCATTCTTGTTACCGATTCATCGATAATAAAATCTTCTTTGTTTTCTTAATTCTGTTTACCATTTCTCTGTGGATTGTTGTGAATTTCTGGAGGATCCTATCAATTGGTATCAGAGCACGGTAGCTTCTGTGGATGGTCTGGATGAGGACGAAAATGGATTTGCGGTTGACTGAGTTGGAAAATCATCACAACCGACTGGAAGAGAAAGTTGATCGGAATCATCAACGGACAACGGAGATGTTGACAGCGATTATGGCCAGGTTGGATGCCAAAGATCGATCCAGCAGTAGGTCGCATCGCTCATCTGCATCGCATCGATCATCTGCATCGCATCACACTTCGAGTCATCACCATCATCGTTCAACTCTCTATCATCGTTCGCGACAAGCAACCAGTTCAGAAGGATCCGAAAACAATTCGGACTATTCTCCTTCACATCGACATCAACACCGCGATCACCACAGGTATAATCGAAATCATCCTCCGATAGGAAGGAAAATCGATTTACCTCTTTTCAATGGGGAAGACGCCGGCGGATGGTTAATCAGAATGGACCGCTACTTCCGTTTGAATAGGACTGAAGAAGAGGATAAGATTGACGTTGCCGTCGTAGCCATGGAAGACCAGGCCTTAAGCTGGTTCCAGTGGTGGGAGGGACAAGCATTGCAGCAGAATTGGAGTACTTTTACTCAAGCTTTGAGTAAGCGGTTTCAACCTGATCTGGTACAGGATCCGCTAGGACCTCTGTTTAGCCTAAAGCAGAAGGGAACAATTCAGGATTACAGAGATAAATTTGAAAAGGCTATCGCTTCACAAGGCCATTTAACTGAAGAAGTTTTGAAAGGAGCCTTTCTTAAAGGATTGAGAAGAGATATAAGAGCAGAATTGAAGTTACATCGTCCCAGAACATTGGCAGCAGTGATGGATACAGTTTCTGCAATTGAAAAGAAGAATTATGAAACCCTATATGTGAAGGATAAGGAGGAAAGAAAGAGAACAGGACAGAGCTATCTTAAAGGGGAAGTTGGTAGTCGAATTAGTTATAATCTGGCATCTACAAATCCATTGGTGAAAAACTCAGACGGTAACAAGAAGCTGGAAGAAGGATCAAGTTCTGTTTATATGAAGACAAGTCCCAGATTATCACAGAATGAGTTGCAAGAAAGAAGTAAGAAGGGGTTATGTTTCAAGTGTGGCGAAAACTGGAATAGGGGTCACGTATGCAGAATGAAAAATTTTTCAGTGATGTTGGTAGAACAATCTGAAGGTGAGGAGGAATCTGATTATAGTAAAGATAAAGGAGAAGAAGGAATAAATATGGAAGCTAAAACTTTGCAATTATCTGTTGTGGACCAGGAAGGAACACCAACCATGAGAACATTCCATGTCAGGGGAATTCTGAAATGGCTGAATGAGGAAAAGAAGGTGAATATTTTGATTGATTGTGGAGCGACTCATAATTTCATTTCACAGGAGATTGTGGAGGCCTGGAAGATACCTTTTGCTTACATAAAAAGGCATAAAGTGCAGCTAGGGAATGGAGAATTCCTTTTCATCTATGGTAGGTGTGATGGGCTGACAGTGGATGTACAAGGAAATGAAATTCGGCAGAAATTTTATATTATGCAATTGGGTGGAGTTGAGGTCATGCTAGGAATGGATTGGTTAGCTGGCCTAGGAGATATGGCAGTCAACTTTCAGAATCAAACCATCCAATGGGAAGTATTTGGGCAGAAGGCAAATATAAACGGAGATCCCTTATTAAGAAAACTGAAAACTGACAAGAAGGGAGAAGGAAAATTGCTGAAATCCCATGGGTTATATATAGATATTTCAGAAGGAAGTGCTCAAGAGCAGGAAGTTGATGTATTTGGTGTTGCAGCAAGCGGGGCCCTGACCTTCAAGGAATCAGAAAGAGTCAAAATTCTGGATAAAACATCCTGGCAGCAGTGTAAATCTGTTTTGAAAGGTATAGGTAAGAAGATGGAATCAGCCAAGCTAAGGGTCCTGAAATCATGCCAATATTGGAAAGGAAGAAGTGCTAGGATGAAAGAAAATAAAAGGATTATGGCTGTGTCCTATCACCCACCTTGAGGGCAAGGTGGATGTTTAGGGGGGGAGAATTGTTAGGGGCCCGGCCCAAATAGAGTATAATAAAAATAAAGTCTAGTATAAATAGAATGGGCTGGGGGGAAAGGGAGGGAGGCTGTTTTGTAGACTTTGACTTTGGGACTTTGGGAGATCGAGAACTATTCTCTTTCTTTGGGGGGCTTCGGCTCATTGGGGGCTTCGGCCATTCTTGTTACCGATTCATCGATAATAAAATCTTCTTTGTTTTCTTAATTCTGTTTACCATTTCTCTGTGGATTGTTGTGAATTTCTGGAGGATCCTATCATATTCTTGTGTGTTACGTACGTAGTGTATTTTTTCAATTCACCAATATATGCTTTTTAAATAGGATTAGATTTTATGATTTTATCTATTGGATTCATCGCAGAAGAGAAATAAAAACAAAAGAGATTGGTAAAAATCAAATTTATCCACGTTTGTATTTGTGATCGTAATCTGAAGCATAAGGATATATGTACATGATAATTGATAAGGATATGTGTCAGGACATTCTAATTAGAAAATATTTATGGGTTGGAGTTCAAATGAGATGACATTTTAACATATAAAATAAGAATTAATCTCAATCATCCAAACTGTCTTAAATAGATTTATTTGAAAAGTGAATCAGATAAGTTTTATTCAAAAAGTGCATCAGATATAGTTTATTGTGCATTAGATTGACGTTAAGATTTTTTTTTATTTGATCCAAATATTTAGAGATTGGTAAAAAATCAAATAATGTTCATACTTTTGATTCTGTTCATTTAAAGGTAAAATTGTGATACTTTTTTACTTCCGGAACCATTCCATAACAAAAAAAAAGGATGACACCCCATCCCTGAGGGCCCCCCAACACTGACCGGACGACACGATGGGAGGATGTAAATTGGACTATAATCACAATCTGATAGATAGAGAGTGGGGCTCTGTCCCCGGTACTTGCAGAAGCCCTATGCATTTTTCAGCACATTCCATAACTCTCTTATTCTTAGTAGCGTTTTTCATAAAATTCCCTTAATCATATATTTAAAAAGTACTACGTACTCCTTAATTAATTTATTTGACAATTTCATAAATATCTGTCCCGAAATTCTCTTAATATGGAGTACTTGTTATTCTGGTTATCACAAAATAAATTCCATTTTCTGTGACAAATGATTTGTGTTTCGTATTACCTTTTTCTCTTTATATAACGCTCAACTATATAATTTCCATTTTTTAAAATACATACAAAGGCCCCTTTGGTAATTCTATCTTTTGGCTTATCAGGCTTATCCGTCGACTTTTTTATCAAACACGTAAATTTTGATTTCGCACGTTGAATTATGTAATAATAAGAAAAAGTAAGCTTGGAGTTACTTTTCTAGCTGTATTGGCTGAAGTTATTGTAAGGGGTCATTTTAGCTATTTTTCATAAATTTGTTTTCTTTATTTTATTAAGGCAAAAATATTTAAAATACCCCAAACTTTAAAGGATCATGAGATAAACACTCCAAACTTTATATAAAAAGTTATTTCAGCACCATAGCCAAGTATTATTTCTTTCAAAAATGTAAATTTATGGTGTTAATTGAATAATTTAAAATATTTTAGCATGCATGAAGACACAATTAACATTCTTAACTTCCATTGTGAAATAACTAATATTACCCCCCCTAAAGTACATAATTACAATGCTTTTAATTTGTTATTCTAAATTATGCAATTAACTCAATAAAATTACATTTTTGAAAGAAATAATACATGACCATGGTGCCTAATAACTTTTTATATAAAGTTTGGGGTATTTAAATTACATATGAAAGTTTAGGATGTTTACCTCACACCCCTTCAAAGTTTGGGGTGTTTTAATTATTTTTCCCTTTTACTAATAAACAATATTTTAAATTTAATTTATTCAAAAATTAGCAGAATCAGCCAATTTAGCCAATTTCAGAGCCAGTTTGGTAAGCCTGTTTTTCGGCCAATATTTTCACCAAACGCGTAAATTTTGATGGGGTTCAAAGTCAAAGAAGTTAATACTAGACTGGAGGGAGTATAAACAATAAAACATAAACCAACACAGAAATCAACTACACTTGCATTATATTGTATTCCGTATTAAAAAATGAGTTTTTTCTCGGAATAATGCTAATTAAATAAATAATTCCCGA